AGGGTAAATTTGGATGTTAGTATCTTGACATGTAGCAATAATCAACTTGCCTTGATATTTAGATTTCAGTGTTGTACTATTAACTAGAATTAGGGGTCGCACTGCATTTCGAAATCCCCGAATGCATTGTCTAAGAGCCATGAAGAAGAATTTGAAGCAATTCTCACCCTCCGTCTCAATAAAAAATTTCGAGTCAGGATTAGTTTTCTCCATGTTATGACAATACCTGGCCAATTTAGCATAGTTTTCCTCTGCAGAGCCCATTAAATCCTCAAACGCACATTCCTTGGCCTTCTGGTAGCTCAAGACTACTCCGTATTCTCGACGGACGTCGTTAATGATATCTGATGGTCTGTAGATCGTATGAGAATCTTGATACTTGTGCATTATCTGTCGACCAATAAACCAAGCTCGGGCTTGCTTGTGATCATTTCGACGTAATCCCACTTCACAAGTATGTTCTCGTGTGTACTTGCGAACTACAAAGCATTCATTTGTGTTCATCTTCGTCACTCGCAAACGCTAATAGAAACTGTCGTCTACGCAGGTAATTATCAACGACTTGTTCAATTTTTTCACTTTGAACTCAAAGTTGTATTTCAACGCAATTAGATGCACAGCTTCCTGCAAATCTTTTTTCGTTTCAAACAGTTGCTCGACATACAAATCCTCACTATCGGGAATCACACGGGAGGAGTTAGAGGACGGTTTACTCGATTCAGCCCTTGAAGTCCCACCCCGCTCATGTCTCTGTTAAGATAAAGTGATCAAATTCTAGTCTGTAAAAGTATTTGCATTTTTACACTCATTGTCGTGAACCACGGACGAAATTTTGTGAGTAACTGTTTCTAGAATAACAGATCATATTCACAAGCTATCTAGACCGTATCCCAAAAATCATTAGCATTGTTATCCCCTCCATCTGAGTCTACTTGTTCACCTTCGACGACATCCTTGCTCACTAAAGTCACGCAAACAGGAATCAAGTGTCTATTGTTCATTTCAAACAGATAATTCACTTCGATATCAGAAGAAATCATCATAGGTGGACTCGGAACTTCCTGATCGCTGAATTTAAATTTCAATTCCATGTCATTCTGAGAGAGATCGACATTTAGCTTGTTCTGTAAAAGATTATAGAGTTCTGCATACGTTGTTGTTTCTGTTATGAAAATTGGGATACCACCACATTTATCGCTTGTCCATTTCCATACTCATCGATCTCTTTCGTCCAATTCGAAATCACCAAAGTAACAAACTGAGACTATAACCATATTTTCATGACGAAAAAGAATTTTTAATTGCAAGAAATATCGAACGAAATAGGAAAAAATTTAAACAGTCAGTTGTTCGGCTGTTCCAGCCGGCTGTTAAATAGTCCGGCTGTCCAGCCGATTTTTTTCAACTATTAACTGGACAGCCGGCAGTTCAAATTCGCTGTCCGGTAGAATAAACACACCAAACTTTTGCATATTAATTTTTCAATATTAATGCAGATGAATTTTTTCTCATCAAAGGCTTAAAATTTTTCACAGATCTATTAATAAAACAATCTGCATTAACATTATACGTCGAAATAAATTTTATCTATGCAAACGTAAAATAATTTAACGAAAATAAAATTAAATGTGCATATTATAAACTTACTGATCCGATGAGATTGATATAAAAAGAATTTAGCTACCGCGTTTGATGAATTTTTAAAATCTTGAGGCTGAAGTAGATGAAAGATGAAAGAGTTTTTATCTGTGTTAGAGTAAAAAGATGTGACAAGTTTACTGATTTTGATATTTTAAGTGGGAAGTGTTTGATTTTTATTTGTTAACAAAAGGGTAATAATGTCTTTTAAGCAAAATCTTTTTTTGTAATTGTATAATACACTTAAGAGTATTTTTGTCTTTTAATACTCTAGATCATTATCATAATTTTAAAAATTGAACAAGTCAAAGTAAAAATTTTCATCTTTGACAATATCATTTTTAAAAGTATCCCACAGGGGCTAGCATTATTCTTAAATTAATTATTGTAGGCAGGTAGCTTTGGTTGCTGCTAGGAGGATATGCAAATAAAGATTGGGAAACAGTATTTTCTCGGATTTGTAAACTCCAAAGGTTGTCTTCATCCTTGCACGTGACTGGATGTCTTCATCTCATTTGCAGTGTTCACACTTGTGCGCATAGGATTTTGAGATTTGGATTGCCAAAGAGCTTAAAAATCAGTGCACCTGTAACAAACTGTCTACCTTCTATGCTTCTTCTCAGAGTTTCCAACATTTTGGGACATTGAATTGAGAGAAACTTAAATGGGGTGGTCTTACCACATGCGCCAAATGCCAAGATGTCATCTCAATGGGTGACCCATACACCTCGAGAGTGTGTGGTGGGCCATCCGTCTAGGTGGTTCACCATGATAGGACGGTCGCATCGCAGCACGGTACAACCGTTTTACTGAAGTTTTTCTCCACTGGATTAGATGGCTAGGAGTTTAAATAACTATGAGGAACATCCAGTAGCTCTCCCCTAAATGATCCGATTCGATAGATCGTGTTTGGCCTCGACAATAAGAGTTGGGCTTGCCTCTTTAGTGTAAAATTTTTGTAAAAAGATGAAATCTCATGAATTCACGGTGTTTGATTTGATTCAAGTCAAAGACTTGAATTTTAAACTTTGCTATTATCTGTTTTATGAAAAATATGCACATATCAAATTCACCAAAACAAAAAAGAATAAAATGGTTAACTCAACAACAAACTATTATAAACACAAATTAAGAGTCACATATTGAAGAAGTCAAACTAGATAGTTAAAGAGAACAAGAAATTTATTGAATATTATCGAGTTGCGCTTAATAAAACTTATCAAATAAGTCATAAAATGTATTGTAAAATTAAATTAGGTACAATAGGACTTCAAAATATCCGAGTGCATTAAACTGATGAGGGTGTGATATCACTGCCAGTGAGGATTATGCTTGAGCAACTGGCTTCCTTTATGCTGTAATAAATTCATTTACAAATACTAACAAGATTTTATTCTTCTTTGTTCCGTAGCTTTAATTAAAAATATACTGTTCAATTATCGAGTCAGATGTATCTACTTTTAGTTAGTAAGATTACATATACTTTACAGATGATTAGTTTTTTATTTGTTTTAGTGAGGGTGGATTGTAATTGTTTTAGAATAAGAAAAGATCGAGTCAAGGATTGGGCAATATTGAGACCTTTGTAATAGATCAAAGTTAATAAATAAATAATAAATTATATAATTCTGGTTGAAAATGACCCTTTTTGACAAAGTGTAAAAGTTGAAAATATTAAATTACTTATATATAATAGATTACAACAATAAATTAATTATTTTCACTTGATAAATTTGACCCTTTTATGTGCTTGACACTTCGACGTGCCTCAATTCACATGATGCTTTCTCGTTTTATCCATAAAATGGCGTCTAAATTTGTAGACTTCTAAAGTCTTTTGGTGAGAAATTTTTTTTTTCATAATCTTATAAAAATATTGGTTCACAAACTTGTCCTGCATGATACAACATGCCCTGCAATGCTGAGCTAGTAGACAATTCCAAACTACGAGAATTTTTATTATACCAAGTGAAGTTTGATATACATTATATTAAACTGTACCAAACTCGATATAGAATCGAAAACAATGACGTTAATCCTTAATTTGGTGTTTGGTGTATTTAAATGAGGTGGGAGAGTGACGGTAAACCAATTGCGTTTACTAAATATATCTTTCCGTGCAAGATAAGAGTTTTAATTGTTTTGGCCAAGTCCAAGTCCATTTTTTGCAACCTAACCACAGGAAAATTTGTGTAACAATACAAGAAAACAAATTCTTAGAAAATTACTTTTATTGGGTTAGGGTAGTGTCACATCACACCATTATTTTGCCCTTTTTATTGACAAAACTCCAAATAATATTAGTCCGTGAGGATATGTACTATTTTGAAATCCTCAGAATCTATAAAAGAATTAATTTCAAAGAGTTGGTACCTTAAAACGTCAATATTCCTAAGGAAAATTTACACATTAGACCCTTAAAATATTGTCAGAGTAGCAAGTTGGTTCTCATCTTCTAAAACAAGCAATTTGATCTATAACGTTAATTATAATTGCACAATAAGTCTTATTTGAAACTATTTAAATTTCAATTAAACTTTCACGTTGTCTTCATGAGCGTACCTTGCATCAAATTTCCAGGCATTACTCCAAGTTAGAAATAAATTTTATTTTTTATAAAGTTGAACAACTTGAGGCTCATGTCATGACGATTTATACGAGACTTCGATATCAATCGTTAATTTGATTGTGCAACTATGATAAAATGTTGATGAGCAACTTGTACGTCTTCAGACTTTTTAGATAAAATTGTTGTTCAAGTATTAAGTTGGGGGCCAATATTATAATTTTTCAATCTTAAATCAATTTGGCTTTTTTTCTCATCAACTTCTAGATGACAATATACCTTTCCATTAATTGTTGAGGGGTGCTCTTATGTAAATTGGTGATGATCGTAACTAAAGATAACAATTCTTCCTATTTTCCTTTTTCTTTTCTTTTTTCATCTCCTTGTTTGGACAACTGGGCCATGTGACCTTTATTGGATTCATTGGTACAAACTTTATGGTCCCTCATGTCCTAAATCCTAGGTACCAGGTAGGGCTGCAAAGACTCTTCAAAGTGGGACCCTTCTTCAGTTCTGGCACATCAAACCCGAACCCCACGCCATCACACCCTACCCCATCCAGAATAATCTATTGGACAGCCACCCCTTTCAACCCATATATATAATAGATAGAGAAGCTTCGTGTGATATTTATTTGCAGAAGCTAACCAGCAAAGGACGAAGATAATATATGCATTAAATATCTCAACCGTGTTGACAATTAAGAGTTGAAATCAGGAAAGATAGTCCAATGGGTTTAACAAAATCAACAAGAAAATACAGAAAAAGTTATGTTTTATCCCTTTTATAGGTGACATACAACTAAACTCATTTATTTATTATCATCATTATCTTTACTTGATCTCTCTGTATTCTGCATTCAATTTGCAGCTCAAACTGATTAATTCATAGTTGCTCCATTCATTTAATCGTACGGCTGCACTTTATTCATTGCCTCTTCATTTTCTTGCAGTTTTTGTATCTGGATATCTTCTTGGATTTGTTTTTCACATGCCTCATTCTGCATTCATTTTTACATTTTTTCATTTTTTAGATATGATATGATTAATATTTTACTCTTTTACTCATTTTCAGACATTCAGGTATTTGTTTTTTCATGGTTGTTCTTCGTAGCCTGTCCAGGTAGAGTTGGGGTAGGTGGAGAGCTAGCATAAAATTTTGTCAAGATTTATTACACAAATCTTAATAGATATCGTAATATTTATGTAGCTGCCCTAAATGGCTAAATTGAAAGGAAAAACTGCTACTTTTCCCATCTGGTCTCTTGTTATTTATCATTTTTATTGGGGGTCTTTTTATTTATGAGAAATTTAATCTCAAAACTGTCCCTTTATGTGTACTCTGATGTAAGAAAGTTGTTAAAGCTTGTAATTTTCTTGAATTTTGATTATTAATCCATTCTTTCTGTATATTCAACAGGTTTTCAATGGCACAGCTGAAATAAATTAATTAATTAAATCTTGAACTCCCTCCTTTGTTCTAGAGAAGAAGAAAAATGAAGTGTTTCTATTACTTCAAGGACAGAAATAGACATAGGGAACAAAAATCCGCTCCAATTTTCAAGAATCACAGCAAATCGGATGTATCAGAAGGCGAAAGGGCGACTAAATCTTCATGTTCAGCTACTTCGGTGCGCAGTATTCCTGAATTATATGAAGAAAAAGCTCAGAGTTTGAGAGTTTTCACATTCTCTGAGCTGAGACAGGCAACTAATAATTTTAGTAGATTGCTTAAGATTGGTGAAGGCGGGTTCGGATCAGTATATAAAGGAACCATCAAACCTGTTGATGGAAAGGGTGATCCTTTTGTGGTTGCCATCAAGAAACTCAACAGAGATGGCAATCAGGTATGGCAATTGTGTTTAAATTTGTCATATGATATTGCGATCAAAGTAATGGATACTTTTTGTCTAATATGCTTCAAGTACAATGCTTTGATTTAGTTTCCGATATTGCGATCAAAGTAATGGAAACTCTTCAGCTATGAAGTATTGATGCAGACATGTGTCCAACAAGTCGTTCGTGGGATTGTTCAAAAATACAACGCATTGTCAACACGTTGATTAAGTTCTTTAAAATTCCACTTTTATAGGGTACAAATTTAGTGTTATATTTGTTAATTTTTCTTGTCGAAATTTTTAAAATATGAATACCTATTATTTATTTAATAATAATTTTGAGTTAAAAATATATAACATTTCTAATAAGAAAGAATGACCATGGAAGAAGCGTCCGTGTTGCAGAGCTCTTAAAGCTTGCCCCTGTCGAGCATCTGTCGTATAGGATTAAAGAAATCTCAAGCATTTATATGTGAAATCACCGAGTTGATTTCATACAACTTCACATTTGTGTGTTGATAATGCAAGAGGTTCGACCTAATTTATTTAATCGTTTTCAGGGTCATAAGCAGTGGGTTGCAGAAGTACAATTTCTCGGTGTTGTCGAGCATCCGAATCTTGTCAAACTTATTGGATATTGCGCCACAGATGGCGAGAGAGGTATACAAAGGCTACTTGTATATGAATACATGGAAAACAAAAGCTTGGAAGATCATCTTTTTGACATGGCTTATCCAGTTCTTAATTGGGATCGGAGATTGCTAATAGCGCTCGGAGCAGCTCAGGGATTGGCATACCTGCACGAGGAATTGGAAGTCCAGGTTTTATCTTCACAGTTTTCTGCCAATTCGTTCGACTATTTATTTACTGCTTAACACAAAATATACTGTTGGATATAGATTATTTCCCTGCTAAACGGTTAATGTTAAGTTACAAAAGATTTGAGTCATTTCAAGAACTTAATCAGCTTAATAATAATTTCTGGTTTGGTAGCTTAACTATCTATTTCTGCATGCTCTTCGACAATCCAATAGCATTTAGGAGTTGGATTTTCCCTTCAACTTGATTCAAGATACGGCTAACTTAGGACAAAACTCTTTCTGCTGCTAAAATAGTCGATACCTGAAGTAGAAAACGCTTTTATGCTACTTATGAACTAGTAAAGTCTTTTCCATTTATTGCTACTTCCTCTCTTGAAAACCGTGAAATCGGTATGTTCTTTAAATAAAGTATGGTTTGCAATATGTGGAACTTACTGTTGTTTATATCAATGGTTAGGTTATATATCGAGATTTCAAATCGTCCAATGTTCTATTGGATGAGGACTTCAAGCCTAAGCTTTCCGACTTCGGGCTTGCTCGGGAAGGCCCGACGGCTGGACATACTCATGTATCTACTGCGGTATGACAAACGTCGCATTTGCATGTTTAGTGAGAATAAAAGGCTTTGTAACTAATTTCACAGAATTATGTAGAGAACTTGATCATAGTGAACTTCATTGAACATATTAAACTTGCACTCATTGAAATTGGATAATGAACCCGTGACTGAAATCACCTCAAGAACTTCATTAACTTACTTGACATTAAATCCATGCCAGACTCCTAGTAAATTCCCCAAAATCCAGAGAGGCTTCTTGATTAATCGAAGTGGAAGGGCAATCTGCTGATACTTCATCAGATGATTGTACAAGGAACACGTAAACTCCCATTCTGTCTGTGCTTATTTACAAAAACGAAAACGAGATATTTCCAAATTTGGATATTGCCAAGGACTTGAGATATAGTTGTTGACATGCTAGTCTTTCAAAGATTGAAATGAAGTTTTCTTAACAATACTTACTTTCTTTATATAATTATTTGAACATGACTGGTAGTCTGCTTTCTGTGACTAGGTTGTTGGTACATATGGATATGCTGCCCCTGATTACATTGAGACAGGTCATCTCACTTCTAAGAGTGATGTATGGAGTTTTGGTGTTGTATTGTACGAGATATTGACAGGTAGGCGTTCACTCGATAGAGATAGACCAAGATCGGAACAGGAACTTTTGGAATGGGTGAAGCAGTACCCTGCTGATAGTCGGAAATTTGGCATGATAATGGATCCAAGACTCGAAAGTCAGTTTTCTCTTAGCGTAGCTCGGAAAATTGCGAAATTAGCTAATAGTTGTTTGGTAAAAAGTGCAAAAGATCGACCGAAGATGAGCATAGTAGTGGAAACTTTGAAGCAAATAGTGCAGGTCTCCAGTGTGGAAAGCCCATCTGTGAACCAGTTCGAGTGCATTGAAGATAAACCACTAGAAGAAAAGCCTGAGAAACATATGGGAGTCTCGGAATCGGCCAAAAGGCGTATGGCACACTTGGCTAAGATAAGTGAAAATGTAGGGGGTATTAGTAGGAGCAGGTTCATGTTCATGCAGAGAACCAAAGTGACATAAGGAAGCAGTTTTCTTGACAATATTATGTTGAACAGAGCTGGTTAAAGATTCAAGATTTTGGACATCGAATTTGATTTTCGAGTCACTGATCAGCTTGGTGTAGTTAACGTGCTCGTCAAGTAGTGTAACCCGAATTCAATAAATTTGATTATATGAAGTCAATTAGTGGAAATGCAACTGAAATATTGACATTCTGATGATGAAACATACCTGGGGAATGCAGTCTTTAGCCCTTTCTTGTAATGAAAATTTTATTGGAGAAGAATATATTTCTTCATATGGCTCTCAGAGTCCATTTTGGGGTATTTGTACTTGTCTATGACAAAAAAGCAATTGCAAAGCAAAGAATGGCCTGATCATCTGCTCTTCACTTTCTCTTCCAATTTCTCTGATCTTAATCAGATTGTGTTGCATATATTTGAGTATAAGCCTGATAACCATGGCTAGTATCTATTACAACCTATAGACTATAGTAGAAACTTCGGAACCTACTAGTAGAGATGCCAAAATGTGCTATGTGCCTATGTGCGATACATTGTAAAACCCGTAGGCCAATGCAACCCAGCACAGGCTGTGCCAGCTCCAGAATTTTTTAGGTCCAGCATGCCTAAAAAGTATGCCCGCGCCAGGCCAGTACCCGCTGGAATACTGTAAGCCAGTGTTTACTGTTTATATCATGGATATTTGTGGCATTAACTGAATCATGGGACACGTTAAGTGCCTGAAACTTAAAGGAAACAAGAAAATAGATGAAAAAAATAAAAACCTCTAATTTGGAATTCTCAGATGTTATTGAATCACAACAGAAATCCTTGTCTCAGTTAGATCAAAAGCCAGAGACTATTATTAGAGTGATTTATTAAAAAAAGGGGAAGAAAAGGTATAAAAAATTTGAACTCTATCATGAAGTGTGGATATCCCAAATTCAAAGTAGACTTTAATCCAGAAAAATGAAAAATAAAATAAAAAATAAGCTGCAACAATTTTGGGTAAAATTGCATACACAAATTCCCATACCAAATCTAACCTCATTAAATAATTACTGTGTAATTGGCTATTGAGCTTCAACAACTTTCTGTAAAACTGTGTTGCAGATGGCTGCCACTTTAGCTTGCAATTTTATTGCAATAATCTTCATTAACCATTCGCCGAATCATCTGGCACTGCCTAAGACATTGCCATCAATTATTTAGCAATGTAAGTCGAAAAAAATTCACTCAGAGGCTAATTAAAGCATCTGGAAATTACAAACTTGCCCTTAAAACAGTTAGTGAAGAAGAACATACCCGTTTTTTGATGGGAACTCCCAGATATTGAGTTTGGATTTTTCAATCTTAATTGCACATCTGTTTTTCACCCCCAACTGATTCTCCATGAAATAGAAACCCTATAAACCAAATTTGTAAAAGGGTGACAAGGAACTCGTGTACTAATATTTCATTCTTGAATATCAGGAAGAGTTTTAGAAATAAATGATTGTTGCAGAGGAAAATACGTATTTTAAATAATTATGAAGTTTCTGGACAAGTTTTTAGAAAAATTTGATGGACATTTGAACAATAATCGCTTAGTAAAAGCTTATTCATCTCAACATAAAAAGCACGTTTCATACTAATATCTGTGGGTGAGCTCATTATTTTCTAGAGAAAAAGTACATAACACGTGGGACGCAAATAGTTAAGATTAAATCTGATTATCTTGAGAGAAAATACTGACCTACAATTATAAGGCTTCTTGTGCGGGGTGAACATCTCTTCAATAGCCGGATATTGGGAATATTTTGCCTACTTGATCCAGTTCGGGAGAACTTCCCAAAACGAGCATCCGTAGTCTAAATACATATAAGGAACAATACTCATGCTTTCAGAGCTTTATTCTCAGGAAAGAAATAAGCAAAAATGAATAAACCTTCCTTACGAGAAAACCAACAAACAGCCAAACAGTAAGATGTTACAGAACTAACAATTAGAAAGTTATTACCCATTCATCAAAGAGTTATGCTACTTGTACAATAATTTCTTACAATATTGGTTGACAATCATACTTGTCAACATCACATACATCCATTTCAAAAACTGATTTTAAAATTAATGGACCGGATTTTGACAACATCAATGTTGTCATTCATTATTGTCAACAACAATTGTACAAGAAGATTAATTCTTCATGAAACTCTGTGGGTTCTAGAATGATAAATAAATTTGAATAAAATCAAGAACATGTACTAGGAAGAAAGAAAGTCGCTATAACTACCAAAACTCAAAACTCATCATTCAGAAGAATTTCGCCAATACCAAAACAAAAATTTAGTGAACACTAAATATAAAAAATTTAGTGAACACTAAATATAAAATCTAGGAAAACTGTATAAATAAAATATATGAACACAATGACGGTGATGGGATTTTAAATCATGATGTTTAACAACGTAGCAAAACTCTATCCTAAATTTATTTCTCAATCAAAAAATAAAAATCAAAAGACAGAACACATTTACTGACTCAACAGAACTTTTACCCAAACCTAGGCCATTATAAATACTTAAAAGGATATTTTGGACCTATTTCAGCTATTGTGACAGTCTCTTCCGCTCAAAATTTGACAAGATATTTCCCTATGTGGAAGCTGAGAAGCACTGGAATGACAGGATTTGCTAGGTTAACTACAAATTGAACATAATCTGAGCAGACGACGTAAGCTAGCTGAAATGAGATTCAAGACGAAAAATTCACCACCACTAGAAAATTTCCCTTTCCGTTTCCCAATTATAAATTACTTTTGATGCATTTAGGTTAATAGCAGTGTCCTGGTTATTCTGTTTATTAGATTTCGAAAGCATTCTCATTAATGGTGCAAAAATCTAGAAGTCGTAATATGAAACCCTAAAAGTTGATTTCCAGTTAAGTAATTATAACAACCCGCACCTATATATTTGTTACACAACTCTGTAGCCACATTCAAATCACAAATTATGGATAATAACAACTCTTTAAATTTCAATTTATTAAGAAATATAAGAAGAATTAGTTATAAGCCAATCTCAGAAAACTCAGCCTAATTTCATTCGTCAATAATTAAAATATAGTGCAATGTAAACCATGATGTGTATATAATGGTAGCAGCCAAAACTACAACAATGATAGCTGTGAAGTAACGGTTTATGCTATCCTAATAGTAAATACAGGTGTTGAATCAGCTTTGCAGTCAAGAGTTCAGTCATTATTCAATAAATTTCAAGAAATTCGCAGTGCAAAATATACTAAAATGGAAAATACCTTCCAAAGGTTATGATACCAGTATGGTCACGCACTCCCATTTCATTTCCATTTCTAAATTCAAGCATGGGTCTGCCTGGAGGGCTCCTTGAATGATGAGTTCCCACCCCATTGTTCCAAAACCTATGGAAGACACATCCAGGAATCCATATACTCTCATTCCTGATCCACATAACAATTTCTCGCGAGTCTTGTATCTTATTCCCGTTCAGTTTAAACTTATCTGTTGATCACCTCAAAAGGCGCATTCAATCCACCATCAATCAACTCAAGAGAATTAAATCTAATGCTATGGTTAAATCTATTTCTATGTATATAGTCATAGGTCATGTACATGAGAAAGTCTATGAAGAGACTTTTTCCTGTTATTTGTTGAGTATATTCAGCATCAACTTGTAAATCATTATACGCTCTGTCCAGTATCTTGTATGTTACTTCATCAAAGTTAAAGGAGACCTCACTCAACTTCTGGCCCCACATCATAGCCCTCTGAGGCAACCCTTGTTTGATTAGATGAGACAGCAGTAAGTTGGTTGTAACCGTATTTGGAACAAATCCCATCTTAAGCAATTTAGCTGTCAAAATCATTGCACGGTCAAGTATGTCATTACAAACACCATTCATCAGAGTGTTGTATGTTACTGTATTCGGAACCATGCCAGCAGAAATGAGATCATCAAACATCATAACAGCTAGATTCATTCTCCGACTACTGCAGAGACCATGAAGTCGTATGTTATATGTTGTAATATCTGGGTCCCACCCACTAGTGTGCATTCTGTTTACAAAATTGTCAGCATTTATCAGGTCAAATGCCTTGCAGTATCCGCTTATCAAAGTGTTGTAAGTCACAATATCTGCAGTTAACCCATGTTTATGCATTTCCATGTAAGTATCTATAGCCGACTTCATTCTTCCCTGTTTACAGAACCCATTGATGATAATATTAATGGTGAAGACATCTGGAAGCAAACCCCTCTGCCTCATCTCCCTCTCCAACTTCAATGCTTCATTTATTTTTCCAGAGTTACAAAAACCAGAAATTAAAGAATTATAAGCAAAGTTGTTAGGGACAAGTCCTTTCCTTGTCATTTTCAAAAAAACATCATATGCCTCTTCAACGAAGCCAGCTTTACAAAGTCCATCAATGAAGGCAGAAAAAGCAACAGCATCAGGAGCCATTCCAATTATTTCCATCTCTTCCCACACAATCTGAGCTCCCACCATGTCCCCTTTCTTAAAGTATCCATCCAGAACAACAGTGAAAGCCACTTTATTGATAGGATAACCCTTCTTGATCATCTTAATCATGAGATCCATAGCTTCTTGGTGCCTCCCTGCTTTAGACAAACCTACAAGCAGTGAAGTGCATGTGGAAGCTGAAGGAGTTAGACCAAATTTTATCATTATGTTATAAACTTCAAAAACTTTGTCTTCTAAACCTGCTTCACTGTATGCAGTAATAATGGAGTTAAATGCAACTACACTAAGAGGTATCCCTTTCTCAAGCATATTTTCTAATAATTCCAAGGCTTCCTCTAATCTTCCAGACCAACATAACCCCGATATAGATATATCAGATAGCGAACAATCTGGAATCAACTCATTACAGGATAAATCCCTCAAAATTTTGTTACCATCCTCTTTCATTCCATACTTATAATGCCCGGCAACTAAAATGTTCATAGTTATACTATCAGGTGCCACACCCTTGCTTCTCATGTCTTCATAAAGCATATTTGCCTGATTGACTTCTCTCGCCTTGACATAGCCATTCATCAAAGCATTGTACAATACGGTGTTTGGCAACACACCCATCTCTTGCATTCCGTCGAAGATATTTCTTGCTTCCACAATGTTACCCTCCTTGCAGAAGGCATTGATGACCGTCCCAAATGTAACAGTGCTTGGTTTGCAACCACTTTCAACCATCAACCGCACCCAACTTAGAGCATCTGAAGTCCACCCCCTAACACAATATGCATTGATCAAAATGTTATATGCATAAACATCTGGTTCGCATCTAAATTTCTTCATTACATGCAACAAACTTTCTCCAATCCTAACACATCCTCTTCTACAGAAACCGAGGATCATGACATTATAAATAAAAACTGAAGGACGGGGTCCTCTTTTAACCATATCCCTGAACAACTTCCAGACACTACCATAATCACCAACCCTTATCAACAGCTTTAAAAGAGTGCTAATCGCTGATAAACTTGGCCAACTACCAGTCTCCCTCATCCTTCCCAATACATCTAATGCTTGTGATCCCATCTCTGCATTTGTGAACGAACGCATTAATGAATCAAGAACTGAAAAATCTGACTCATACCTAGAATGTTCTCTCCACATAAACTCCACCACATCATTACTCCTATCCTCCCCTGTTCTCCTAATCACCCATGTAAGCACATCTTGTGCTAGAAACCTCAAGTCCTCAGCTGCCAACAAATGTGCAGCAATGCAACTTCGCCAGATCACACTTTCCAAATTATCCTGAACTAGAAATTTGAAAAACGAAAACGCCACCTGCCGTTTCTCAAGCATTTTCATGATTTCTACAAGTATATGAGGGCAGAAATTATTGGCCAGTTTCTGTAAGAGATAACCCTTTTCTTGTTTGATCATTTTTGCTATACCAGAAGAAATTTTACGCCTCTCATTCGAATTAATAACCGTGCTTGAAGCGTTAGAAAAATTCTTGAAGGGTGAAAATTGCTCAAGAAAATCAAATTTGGAATCAAAAGAAAGAGAATTTGAGCTCCTGTAGTAAGAAGATTGATGAAATTCAAAAGTCTCTAGGGTCTGTTGAGGAACAGAGAGAGAATGCACAAGTAGGTTTTGTGAAGTTGAGAGAGAAAGGTAGAGTGAGAAAGAGCTAGAGACCTTGAGAGTGATGTGAAGTCGGCGCACAGTGGCAGACATCCGGAGAGTTCACTGGAGTTCTCGTCGGAGATAGGACTTCCGACGACGGCTTCTGAAGAGGGATTTTCCTTGTGCTCCTGGCGCATTCCCGGTCAAAAGAATGGTAAGGGAAAGTTGAAGTTTGAAATTGTTACCGGTCCATTAAGAATGGGTTTTTGGATTTGGGTAAATCCATTAATCGAATTGCATGGTCAAGCACATCATATCATAGCCCATCTTACTCAACAATAGCAAAAGCCCATTGATTTGTATCATCATCTTGTGGCTACAAAAATAATAAGAGAATGAATAATTTTAACTTATGAATGACAAGATACATCGATTACGGAAGAAAAATAATTTAAATTTTTTTTTATGAGCAATTCTATCCCAACTATGCTTAGGGCATATTCGATATTGATTATGAGAATTGATTCTTCAACCATTGGAGAAAAAAGTGGGATCCACCAATAAGTGGAGGAGTCAAAAATGATTGTTGAAATAGTGAAATAACAATTAAAAATTAATTTTTTTTGGAGTGAAAATTTGCTAGCAAACGCTTAGGCTAATCTGGTAATACCCTTCTTATTTTTTACTTGATCGATTGACATTTAAATCCATTCATTTGTTGAATGGTTCATTGAATTTTGACACTCCACTTTAATCATTTTCCAGTAAACTTTGAGTAAGAAGACGGATCTAAGAATTATTGACGATTCATGAGGTGGTACATATATACATGCTAAATATAAGTCTTTTGATTAAATTTCGAAGACAAATGTTTAGAATTTGAACATAAATCTAATTTATTTAAGAAATATTATCTTCTCTCGAAATATTTCTTTGAAAATTTAGATTTTCAAAAAAAAAAAAAAAAGCATGTTGCGAAGTGCTAAAAAACAATGATTATTGAAGACGGGTTTCCATATTTCAACAAGGAAAAATAAAATTGGAAGAGAAAAGAATTTCAATGCGTTCGATAGTATGTAATTTTTTATATTTTTTTCAATGACATTTTAGGCATTAACAATTATTAATTGAGTTGTGCTTAGTGTACATAAAATATGTACATAGGGGTGTCAACACCTCTCACATGGTACATCGAGATTTTTTCTTAGGTGGTTATGAAGTCAATATGATACTCAAAATTAAAAATACATCGTTAGATATTTTTAAAACATGAGAGGTATCTTTAATATTGTCATAAAGATGAGGGGTTGTATATGATATTTGTCTCTTTATGAATTTACAATGGCCCCAACAACCTTCTATTTCGCACCATTACATAATAGCCCTAAAAATGTCACTTTCTGATATATAGGGTTTTGTGTAGAAGATTAAAATTAGATTTTTTAGTAAATTGTAATAAAAATTTTGAACTGTGTGGTTGAAAAGTTGTGAGACACATAAAAGATGTGGTTAATATTGATTGTTTGACTTTAACTTGAATTAAAATCAGATTTTAATCCATACCAAACATGAGTATAATCTTAACTTTTTAACACGATTGAAAATCATATATTTTTTATTCTTTTTGTGAATAATCAATGATTACAATAAGAAGACTTTTACTCAAACCCTCAAACTATACTACACACTTACAGAAGTAAATTATAACAATAATAAATAAAGTAGTTTTTTTCAAAGTACTTGAATGTTTTGCAATCACATTAAAACTAAAGTTCTATTATTATATCACTTTTTTCTTCAATTTATAACCAAAACTTGTAATTTTATTTTGATAGTAACATGATTCCAACAAATAAATAGTTAGGTGCAAAAATCTTATGATTTGTGCCTTCATTTTCTCAGATTATCATTCAGATAAAAACATCGTTACAAAGACCTTATAGTTGATGGCATCCCAATTAAAGGCCACTGAATTATATAAGCATCAAAAGGCCATTAATAATTATTATATAAAGAAAGATCAAAATTGTGTGATACTGATAGCCATGGGACATGGACTCTCTCTTGTTCTGGTGCCTGCCTCCATGGCTCCATCTGTTTACAGCTGCACCAGATACCTTGGATATTAGAACATTACTAATTATTTTCTTGTTAATATTTTGTATTTAAGAAACTGCAACTGTTCCTGTCCGTACAGGTTTCTTGGCATCATTTTCTTTAGCTGTGGTGGAGTGATTGCTTTTCTTTGATGAGGAAGAAATTTTCCATCTTTTTTCGTTGG